CTGTATATTCAACCCCATAGAAGTGTTCATATTTTTAAACACCCCATAGAAGTGTTCATATTTCAAACATTCTGTATATGCAACCCCATAGAAGTGTTCATATTTTTAAACACCCCATAGAAGTGTTTATAGTTCAAACACCCTGTATATGCAACCCCATAGCAGTGTTCCTATTTTAAGCACCCTATATATACAACCCCATAGAAGTGTTCATATTTTTAAACATCCTGTATATGCAACAAAGAATCGTATTGTAATTCTCGAAATAGACGACATTGATATCGTAGAATTCTCACAACATCCACGAAATACTATAAAGGAAATAAAAGTTTGAAAAAGCAGGAAGTTTCTTCGCTAGCTGATTGTCTGTGATCTCCTCGAAAGACATCTGCGCTGTGGAGTTATTTTTGTGGGGTGACGGCGCAGTTTGTGAATACACAATGCGTGTGTAATAATTAGCAGCTGTAACGTTCTTTGTTGTACACGGGAGCTGTGAATGCCATAGAAAAGGATGGCGAAACCAATTTCGAATGTAATTTCAGTGTACGTGTTCACATCACATCGCTCGCCTACATTTCAAGAAAGAGAGGGCCCATCCGGTTAATGACGCGTGAACAGATTTTGTTCTCGATGACAATTAATTTTTCTTTCAAAACACGGCATAATAAGGGACCCCAATTACGTCTTTAAAACACAGTGATAATTTCATATACCATATATAGAACTCTGAATTACTCTGTAACATCAAAGTATAATTCATCGGTTTCGTGCGATTATCACAAATTTACCTGATTATCTCCTCAAAGAACGTTAACTAATTGATCATTGTCACTGAAGTGTTATCTTTTTTTGATAAATTAATTTTTAAATGTTATTTATATGAACTCAGGAGATACATTACTTCGAAGACATAGGAGTTCAATGGATAATATTAAAATGAAACTTAAAGGAACAGGATGTGAGAATGTGGATTCGGACCGGAACGTTCGTCAGTGTTACAACAAAAGCTTATAATTCCTGCCTAAAACCCAGTTCAGATCTTCGCAATATATTTTAATAAGATTAATTTTTACATTATCGTTCCATTTTCGTCTATCAGGTAATAAATGTATACGAGTTCCTGACAAAATTATGTATCATATCTTGTTTCCTCTATGTGTCGCCCCTATATTATGTCGATTTAACCATGCCAAGTGTAATGGATAAAGAAATTATATCAAAACGTTCTCCGTTGCGTCATTGTCTTAATTTTCTGTTAAATCATGCTTATTATGTCAGTACACTGTTTTATACACCTTAATTTCTTGTTCATTCCTCTCACATACACACAGATAACTATAAATTTAGCACATATACGAAAATATCCCGAATAAATATACCTGAACAGAAAAGTTATTTGCCATCTGCGAGTTCCTATTTCCCAATTCCTCCGCCTGAGTACAAATACCAACAGAAGTTCATAACATTGACATACAAACTGTTTATGTTGACATTTCTACGCACAGGAATAGCAAAACGAGTTGAGCTATAAACGTAGAAGAGCCATACAGAAAGACATCGCGAAAGTGTCTCATGTTATGGAACGCCCAAGTGACCCAGTTCTGCTAGAAAACTTTCCTGCCAAAACACGCGATGTTATTCGCTCTAGTAACACGAAAGTACCAACTAATAACTTGTTTTACAGCTAAATTGCCATTTAGGAATCCTGTTGTAACACTTCTTACGCTATTCACGAGATATCTCGCTTGCAAGCACATAAAATATGTCTAACTGAATTTCTGATTTCTAATTTGGATAAAATGAACTCTACAACAGCACAAAAGATTGTGTCAAATGAAAGGCTATATTCCGTTCACTCACCGCAGCGGGAAAAAGGGGGGGGGGGTCCGCGAAGAACAAATAAGAGTTCAACTTTTATTTTCAGATTCCTGAAACACCTCTCTCTGCATATAAATAATTCTTCCGCACTGTTAAACACGTCATTTCCTGACGGGAGTAATACACAAATTACGTGTGCTTTTGTGGAACAGGATGGGAATCAGGGGTGGCCTAACTTGCTGGCGTAGAGCCTTTTTCCAGCCTCTTACTACAAGCCGCTGTGAGTCGTCAGTGGTAACAACCTTTCAGGATGACGTGGGGACAGAGTGGGACCGAGCCCGTCCTTACAGCGAGGTACCAGGCCCCAAACCACTTCCTCTCGTCGGCAACACTTGGAGATTCCTCCCGTTCGTCGGTAAGAACACCTTAAGCCTACTTTGCGTGCTTCATTAAGTCATTATCAACATCATGTGATCTTTCAATTCGTTCCTTTGTGTGTGTGGTATAAATCAGGTAATTTCAGCATTGAAGAGATTGATCGAGTTTCGCGAGACCTCTACAGACAGTATGGCCGAGTCGTCAAGTTGGCTGGCCTGATGGGAAGACCCGACATGCTGTTTCTGTACGACGCTGACGAGATAGAGCGAGTTTTCCGGAACGAGGACCTCATGCCTCACCGACCCTCCATGCCCTCACTCAACTACTACAAACACGTTCACCGCAAGGACTTCTTCGGCGACAATGGAGGGGTAATAGCCGTGTGAGTGTAACGAAAAGATTTCTTGTTCCTCGCGGGGATCCCCCAAAAGGCGGGGAATCCTACGCGATGACAGCCGCCCACGTAAGAATCACTGACCCCACGACAAAAAAAAAACCGAGATGGAATTCTTACACTACGCATTTCGTAACTTGTTGCTCTCAGAAACGTCGGTTGTGTCGCCGTTGACAAAACAACTGAGCGGTGTCTATCGGTATTAGTGTTTTGCATTAGCGAGAAAATT